CCACCCCATGGTGCAGTGTAGCTGGTTTGGTGCCATCGACGGTTGGGATCAACAGAGCCAGGTCAAGTTTGCTGGCATTCTTGGCCAAGTCAGCGACATGCTGCTTGGTTGTGAGGACGATGCCGGCACTGGCTTGTGACACCTGAAGACGGTGTGTCTGCACCATGGCCTTTCCGTCTGAACCCTGAAAGGGGATCGGGGCTTGGAGGGTCAAATCCTCCCAGCGGCTCTGGGTGGGCTTGGCCGACTTCTTCATCCATGGATCCTGAACCCACAGGGGATCAGGCGGTGCAGCCGCCGAGGGAGCGGACGGCTGGCTGGCTGCCGCTGCCTTGGTAGTGGGACTGCTGGTGTCCATGTTGGAGCCTGCAGCTGCCGCAAAGGTTTGCTGTGGGAACAAGTTCCTGCTGATGTTGAGAAGATGGTGCCGGCGCATGGTGTCTGCAAAGTGTAGCAGGTCCGGAGGAACAAGGGCCCTGGCCCAGGCATCCCTGGCTTGTTGCAATGTTGTTGCGATGAGTGCAGCATGCGGGGAGGTCTGTATCTCAAGCTCCTGACTGGTGGACAAAGGTGGAATCTGAATGCCAATGCGGTGGTAGATCTCTGCTACGATGTATTGCCCACAGAGGCCATGTGGGTTGGTTTGGTCCGCGCAGTGCAACAGGAAGTCTTGGCTTTGGCATCCCAGGGCGGTGCGGAGGTGCTGGATCAATGGTAGGAGTCTTCCTGTGGAATTGGGCGGAGCAGTAAGGAAAAATTGAGCCCGTCTGTCATCTTTGTAACACTCAGCCAACATCCAGTGATTGTTCTCCATGATGGGCCACAAAACATGTCGGTACGGTTGGATGTTGGGAGGCGGTGTGTTTGGATAAATGAGGCAATCCGCAACACTGTCCCAGATGGCTGGTTGGCAGAGCATGGTGTCTGGCAGGATCTTGCGAGGAAGGTCAAGCGCAGCATTGATCTCATCAGAACAGGCCCATGCCGGGTGGATGTTGAGCCCATGGAGCCGAGTGACGATACGCTCGTGGATGTGATTCAACTGGAGATTGTATGCCACCTGCGGCTGATGGGCAGGCTGGGGCTGGAAGTCGACCGGAAAGGCAGTAGCCAGTGGTCTCTGATTTGCGGGCCCGGTCCTGTCATGTCTGCGAGCAAGGGCTACAAAGAAATGCCTGCGCAGCCTCGTGGCAAAGTTCTGGAGATGTAGTGGAGCGTCAGCTCTGATCCAGTCTTCAATGGAGGCCTGCATGACCAGATTGATCTGGTCAGTGTGCTGAGGGCTGGTGGGAGCTTGGGCATCAATTTCGGCAATGTTGTGTTGCACGCCAAGTTGCGTGGCCCACCTGAACAGCAATTGCCAGCCACATAAGTGTGGTGTGTGATCGGGATGATCGTACTCGATTTGCATGCGGTGCGGTCCGACATCGATCAGTCTGGCAAGAATCAGGATGATTCTGGTTTGGAGCCGGACAGGCACATGGACTGTGGTGACACGTACCACATTGTTGGTCTTGACGACTTCAAAGCCGCACCAGTGGTTCCCTGCAAGGATGGGAATGTTGGTCTGGCCTGCATCCCACACAATGGGGGGTCCAAACGGTCCTTCATCAAATTCTGATTTGTTGATATCCCAATACACTGGTGGTGAAAAATGCAAATCAGCACCAGGTGACCAGGCCAACGACTGACAAATGAAGGACATTTCATCTGCTGCCAGCCAGCCGTGCGTGTTGGCCGCAAACTCTGCCCTCTGGGTGAAGTCGGCATCCTGGGGAAGCTGCAAAGGCGCACCACCACCATGATGACCACCTGCGCGTATGGTGGAGTGAGGTTGCAGGGTGATGAAGTCTCCATTGGAGAGGCTCTGGTCTGCGTTGAAAGGGAAGCCATTGATGTCGACGATTGCATGCGCACGGCTGCCGAGCTGGAATTGAGTGCCAACTTGCAAGGTTGGCGGGTGAAGGCAAGCCCAAATCGCCGGCTCGTCCTCGAAGCGGAGGAGGATGCATCGCTGTTCTGCTCTGGGGTCTGGTTGCCAAATGGCAATGGCTGAGTGGATGTGCTCGTTGATGTATTGCTTGTACAGGCCAATGGTGGTCTTGGCTATGGTTCGTACCCTGTGCACGAATTGGTCGTGTTCACAGGCAGGGATCCAACTGGAGTAGGATACCCCTTGGCTGGGCAGGAGCAAGGTGAAATTGTAGGCCTGGCTGGGCGGGTGAATCTGGCATTGCTCGAAAAGCGGGAAAAGCCCAATACTGGTGAGGTGTCGGATGGCTTGCTCGAAAGTGGCCTGAGGAACTGAGACGAGTGCAGAGGCCGTCTCCTCATGAGTAGAGTATGGCATCGTGGGGGAAACGACAAGGGTAGTGCTGTCTTGCTTCATTCGTTTGGCAGGTGGTGCCGGTTCAGCTTGTACCTGAAAAGTGCCAAATGCCGTGCTGCCGATGTGGAATGTGCCCGGTGTGCATTGGGCTGTGCATGTTGTGATGCACATGGCTTGGTCCAGTGGTTGGCCGTCGAAGGTGACAGTGATGAAGCGGCGCAGCATCTGAGGAGCATCAAAAGCGATGTCGATGCAATGACCAATGGTGGCTGTCGCTGATGCGAAGGTGGTGAGGGCGAGGTTGCCCTGGTGCAAACGAATATGGATCTCGTAGTCCCCATCTCGTGGGCAGTCAGTGCGGAGCTGAATGAACCGGGGACAATTGCAGTGCCTCGCTATGTGCACCCAGGGGCCATCTTGGAAGACCAAGGCATTGTCTGCGGTGAGCTTGGAAGTCCAACATGTCCTCACCTGATCGAAGATGTCGATGCGGATGGACAGGATGGATTGGAAACCAACGAGGACGGCAAGCAGGGAATGCGGCACAGCTATAGCGTTGCCTACCAAGCGAAAAGCCTCAGAGAGCTTGGATGGGAGGACTTGGTCTGTGAAGGCACCAAACATGGCGACAAACTTGGCAGGGTCGAAAAAAGCGAAACCTGCCGGTAGCAGTTGTAATGCCGCAAACAGTCCCTTGCGAGCTAGATGCTGTGGAGCGAGCAAATGTTGCTCTGTGTACGAGGCACAAAGCGTAGGCATCAATTCATGCTCATGGACCAAGCGGGCCATGAGGACCTGAGTGACGGTTGGTGCACTGCCGAGGGACATGGCCTTGGCTGACGGAAGGAATCGAATGTCCCCGTAGGTCTTCTTCTCCGTATCTGAGAGCAGCATCTGGTCGAGCCAAATCCTGGGCAGGGTGAACTCGAAAGAGTCGTGTGACCAATGAACACGAGGCAGGCATGATGGGGTGAGGCGAACGTCAAAAGGTCTGGCATCAAGGTCTGCTCTGGCCCATGCTCCTAACCATCTTGTTCTGCTCTGAGGAGAGACCTGGTGTAGAGTGGTATCTTGTGACCAAATCAAACGATAGCCGAAAAGACGTGCCAAATCGGTCAAAAGCTTAAAATGGTCGTGCCGGCTGATCCCGTCCGAGCATTCGGCGAGCACCAAAAGGGATTGGAACCCAAATGCCTGTACAAGCGCTTCTGCAAAAGCTAGCCCGTTTGTTGAGGACAGCCCTTTCCCGAGGCCAGCTTTCGACCAGCTCTGGCAGGGCGGTGACATGGTGACTATCAAGTTCAGCTGGCTTTGTGAAAGATTCAAAAGGGAAGAATCGGCCACATGACCACACACAGCGAGGTTGTCCTGTGGGGACCAGCTAATGAAAGGCGAAATTGGTGCTCCAAGCGCTTTCATGCCATGTTTCCTCTCCCACACCTGAATGACCTCAGGTGCACAATCGATGTCCAGCTGCTGCCCAATGTTTACTGCCAAGTCACTCGTATTGATCCAAGCCATGGCTTGGCCCCAACCTGCGAACCCACCTGAAAACAGGTGGATGACAGACCACGTCATGTCAGCATCAAATGTCGGTCTGGTGCAAATGGCCACATTGGTGTCAAAGTGCACCGTATTGGACGTGCCACCATGGGACATCTTTCCTTTGCAGACAAAATGTGCTCCAACATAGAAATTGATCGGCCGTTTCTCAATGTCAGGTATGGAAATGCTGTAGCGGGACTCACAAGCATCATCCAAACACCAACCCCTGCCAGGAAGGAAATTGAACAACTTCGTGTCGATCACATCCCCACAAATACCAACAGCTTCGCCAACACACATGCGCTCATCCCCGAACCGAAGGAAAGGACCTTCATGCCGTGCAGCATCGAGAAAGGCAGCCATGCGAGTGCGAAAAGGTTCCTCGACGGTCGCAAGCGCAGGAAAACGATCCATTGCAAAAGAAACCACAGGAATCTACGAGAAGCCTTCAGACCGCACAAATGGCTGGGCCTGGATGTCAGTGCCCTTGTAGACACTGCGTTCCCGGCTGGTGGCCGAGACCCGCAGTCCCGGGAGGCCTGTCCTCCACGAGACCCTGAGCTTTTGAGCCCGAAGGTCTTTATGTATATTATATATATATATTATATATATGATAGATGACTCGATGATTATAGTATATCATATGATATTTTAATCTTAACTTAACTACTTGTCATTATCTTATATTCGTAACGTAACTAACTTACTTGACTTTACTGAAGCAACTAACACGACTCCGACTACAATTTTTTTGGTGACAAAACTAAACTTAAACAATTTCAATATACTCTATATATAGTTCAGAGATTTTTTTTTATAGTTCAAGATATTTAATGTATAGTTCAGGGGCATGCCCAGCTACTCGAGACAAAGAGGCCCACGCACCCAATAATGCATATAGCTTGTTTTATTCCTCCGATTTTCCGATGAACATGTTCAGTCTGAATGCACCAGTCATGCACCCCAAAAGACCAGAGTTTGGAGCTCTTACAGCTGCGATAGGGGAAACCACAACGAACGCGGTAGCAATGGGCGCCAGATCATGGCGGCAGTGAAATCTGTGCATTTGAACAGTCGGGTGAAATCTGGTCATTCTTTTCAATTGAGTTTCTTTTGAGATTCTCACCATAGCTGCCAACATAGGGCCGAGAAAGGGCCATTGGGACTCTTGGCCATAGAGCTGCCTAACAAAAAGGCTTCAGCGGCTAAAAGAAGCGCACACAAAGCATTCTTGTTTCAAAAAACGGCTTCAAGAAACAGTTCTATGTTGTGAAGACCACCCCAAAGGAGCTCAGCAAAGGGATTCCACTAGAAACAATAATGCGAACAAGTTTCTTTTTTCATGATTCCCGTGAGGATCTCCAGGTTTCATTTCAGCGCAGCTCCAGTTCCTCTTCCTCTTCCTCCTAATCCTCATCGTTCTCCTCCTCACCCTAGATGCTTTAAGTGGCTATCGTAGATGGACGCCAAAATTAAACGTCTGTACTAGGCCCTGTACAATAGCTCTGCTTCTTGAAATTACATACGCATGCACCTTGCAGAGTCTAGATACAAACCACTCAAAGAAGAACATACCGGCTGCTTGCAATAGTGTGTGGAACTTGTACAATGTATGATGACACACAATCTCAGGGACTTAGGCAACGTGTCTCGCCAGGGTCTTGTTTTTTGTTTGTCCATGAACTGCAGGGACTGGATGCCCAAGGCAATTGCATTGTTTTACTTCCTTTCCCTTAGCATTGCTTCGAACCATCCGTCTGAGTTTTTGCATCTAAGACGAAGATTTCACCGGCACTCCCTTCTTGCGCAACATGGTGCATGAACGGATGTCAGCGGTCAACTGATATACTTACTGTAGCCCAAGCAAAGTCGCAATCTGCCTGGCACGCCCCATGACGTTCCTGCGAAAGTGTGTGCAAAAAAGAAGTTGCGAAGCTCAAGTGGCAATGATTGTTGACACATGTTGAAATGCGGACACAAATGCTGCAACCTAGCCACTAGCCGATGGTCGGACAATGCTTTACGACAATAATTGCAAATCACCCTTCTTGCATTACGAAATGAGACTTTCCGTCCTGACTAGGCTGCTGCATCGGAAGTTGGCAGCTTCTTTGGCTAGAAGGGCTGTTTCATGTGAAATTGATGTTTGTTGCACAATCGTACAAATTAATGGCATTTGGTTGACTGGTCGAAATCCAAGCTGAACATGAGGCAACACATCTGGCTTTTACACCAACAGGTGAACATTACTTCTCATTCAGCTGAGCACGTAATTGATTGATCCTGACTGCATGTGTTTTGAAATGTTCGACTCCTCGGAGAATGGCTCCTGGTCATGAATTAGCCTTGTGACTCATGCATTGTGATGCACTATCTGAACAAAACGTTGGAATACTTTGGAAGCAGCAAAGCTAGAATGGACCATTTCTCCAAACTAGCGACAGCTATATAGGGCGGCTCATGTTCAGCTGCCGTCACCAAACAAGTGTAGATCTTGGAGTTTGGATGTCGAAAACCATGATGTTGCACCATTGAACGGATCTCACGATGATGGTCAACCCACCAAGCCGCAGCTAGCTGTCCGGAACATCATCTGTCAAGCCATATTTGCGAACGGATGCCAAATAGCGGGTCGTTTCCTTAAATACGCAAGCTACATCAAACAGCCTTCATCGTGACAATAAAGGGAGCGCTTGTACCATGGACATACTTCACAATTTTCTCAAAGTGTTGCCAAAGAGTGGCCTTGAGAATAAAACGGATGTATCCCCTTCAAAACTGGACCACCTTTAGCCCATGGAACTTACCATTAAACATGATCTTTTCTTATCCTAGGTCCTAGGTTCCTTTGCAAAGACTCCGCAATAGACTCATTTCGACACCTCCACTTAAAATTATTGAGGACAATTCGAAAACATGTGCAGTAATTTTGCAATTTCATGTACTTGTATAAAGAATGTCTCACTTATCAGTGTGTCCATTCTTTTGATGCAACCGTATGATCAAATCCTCCAACACTTGATAGATTTGACAATTCAAATGCTTCCATCCAAGACTCAACAGGAACAAATCCATCAATTTTTTCCCACAAGGAAGCATCCTGGCAAAAATACATTTGAAACACATATAAACAAATTATGTTCAATCTCCAAACCAGTCAAACCCACAAACAAACAGGTCCTCACATGTGCTGGAACGTAAACGACTCTCATCAGCAGAGACCTCAGGAACTTGAGCCGGACATCAGATCCATGAGAAAATCTCTCCACAGATTAATTCGACGTCTTCTAATTTTTTTCGAGCAGCACAATGACCGGAAGCATGCCGCATATGTCCCTTCCGGTCAAGGAGATATTGCTGATTCCTTGGATTTGTAAGGATCTACGACTTGTCGCTTCAAAAATTTCACTTGCAAACATGTTTTCAGGCAATCTCATAGATGAGTCACAAATTGTGCCCAGAGATATCACAAAAGTAGAGGATTGGACCTGTAGGATCCAAGCGGTCAAAGCATTCGATCCTGAGTTAGCAGCACACACTGCCAGTCTGCAGTGGATGAGAATGACCTGGCACATGTGACTTACAAGGTTTTAACCTTCGCAAGTGTCTATGTTGCTGCCACCGTGATGGTTACACATGCATTAGTTGATTGATATGATATTAATATTAGTTCAAACACGGATTGGCACCACTCCGCGCACGTAAGTCAGGGGTTTCCATCTGGAAGCTTGGGCCACTAGGGTTTTCTGAACGTTCGGACATGTCCGCTGTCACGACATGTCAAGGTATGAAATCTCTGACGTCTGAAATTCTAGAATCGGGGTGAGCTACAATGTTGAAAATCGTGCACCCAATCATCTTTGACAACAGCGCAAGATTGCGCAGCTGCGCTCCTGACCCCAGCTTGATATGCCGTGTGGGCTGTCTTGACTCCGACCCCGCTTGCACCAATGTCTAAATATTCACCATGGACGGATTCCAGTTTCTTTCAACCCACGGGAATACAGTGTCCTCTGACAAAGTGATACCGAGCCAGCAAGGGCGGCTATGCTCAGCCACAAAGGGAGGAGATCAGTTTCTGCAAGAGGAGCTACAAGCTAAAAGATGAAGGCCTACAGACCCAACCTGGAAACTACATCCAACACATGTTGAAGCTCTACGACGAGGAGATGGGAAAGGTGAAGGTTCAGCAGTTGCCGGCTGAAGGAGCAATCCAGATGAAGGACAAATCAGAAGCGCTGAAGGACCCAAAGAAGACAACCCTTTTCAGGAGCGCGTTTTGGCCCATCCATCAACAGCAAAGGGTTTCCACCGCTTGAAGAAGGTTGTGGGATACCTCAGGCGGTTAGCCTTGCCCCGTGTGAAGCTGAACTCATGCCATTGTCTCAGTCAGATGGCGTCTACGTCAGGGCAGTGGTACGGATTCCTCCAGCGCAAGGGAATTGGCGACAATGGGGCGAGAGGATGAAGCTCTGATGGTGGCGCAAGAGATTGCGCTGTGCTACGGCGTGTTGGAGAAGCCCCAGCGGCGCAAGATACAACTCAAGCCGAGGAGGAGCGCGCTGGATGTCGCATCACGACCTAGGCGTGAGACCTGCGCACAGCGTAGCCTTTTGTGGTTTTCAATTAGCGCGTATAACTGCGTAACTATATACAAGGTTCAAGTCGGCAAACAAACGCTCGTTGGGCCAACTGTCTGTTTGCCGTCCACTGAGCCTACGTATTCTCAGCAGCGCGCAAGCGATGGACGCATGCGAGGTGTTCTAGTGAGTTCTTTTTGCTCAACAGCTCCAGTTTGTTCCAGCCTCTTTGGTCAAGGGCCACGAGCCTCCTGGGCAAGGTCAAAGCGGGCAACGGGCATACGTTTCGAGCCACCGCGCAGCTGCACTTGCGCAATACGAATGTCCGGGTCGATCAACCCCGCTTCCACAAGGATCGATGGCGGTTTCAACCGCGAAGACTTCCTGGGAGCTAATAGAAAAGCCGTGGAGACACCAGTGAGTCAGTGACCCCAATATCCACTGTTCAGCTGCAGCCTTCCGTAGAGCACACCGCAGTGATGAGCCATCAATAGAGCTCAAAGGTCTTCCCTGACGCTCTCGGTAGTGGACGGCCCTCTCCAAGATTCTTCTCAACCTCCAACACCTTCTGCTTCGAGGACTGAGATGTGTCTTCAATCAAATTTCCATAAAGGACGATTCGAGCCTTTTTCCAAGCGTCCGGGGCCTTCACAGTGGGGACAACCTTGGCCGGCGCCACCAACATCTCGTTTCCCTCCTCTTTGATCAAGTCAGCAACCTTCACAGGTCGCACCGTTCTGGTGGTGCTTTCCAATGACGTCATCTCGTTCTTCAGGGCAGGAATCCACAATGGAAGATCTCTTCTCACTTGTGCCAGTGGGACCGTGTAGGTCTGAAGGACTCCATGAACCGGCGGTGGAACACCCTCCAGGACTGGCATCGCATTGCCGAATCGTTTCCAGCCGTTGCTAGCGGAACACACACACACACACGAGGTTTATAGTTTGCAGAGGTGGGGCTCTCACGTGTGGTAGACTTAGGCTTGGAGTGGCAGCGGGGAATGCAACTTGGGGCTTCAATCTTGCTTACGTTGGCGTCAAACTTCTTCTGAGCCTGGGCAAGAACACTTCGTCGATGTATCGCGCAGAACCTGTGAAGATCAAGTCAACCAAGCTCCTTCTCTAGGAAATCCGTACAGAAGTCGAGCCATGCCCTCTGGCCTGGCAGGTTTTTCTTCGCCGCAAATTCTTCACCTCTCAGCTTCACTTTCAGCGGTGTCTTCGTTCTCCTGCTGTCGCTTCTGCAAGAAAATTCCAATAAGTATCTTCAGCGCGTGTCCAGAAGTGGCTGGTGAAAAGACGTCATCTCTCCCGCCATGCAGAAACAAGAACTCAACCTGTAGATGAGATCTTCCACCAGCCCCTGAGGAGGAGGAGGAGAAGGAGAAGAAGAAGGAGAAGGAACCAACGGCCACGAACGCCCCTGGAAAGACGGCGAACAAGCCCCGGAGAGGACCCAGAAGAGCGGGCGGACACAGTCGCGGATTCAGTTGAAGAAAGAGGCTTCAAGGCATGGGTGTCTGGAGAGGCCCACAGCGGACAACTCACAGATGAGCTTCTCGTCACAACACGTTCAATGCGTGAGGATCAGCGACGACAAGCTCTGACTTTTTGCGCTTCCTCATAGGAGTTGTCCTCCATTAAAGGGATCCCCTGGTCTGGCTGAAGATGAAGGTAGTCGTAAGGGAGCGGAAGTTGGCGCGACTTGGTTGCAATGCCTTGGTTGTGTGAGGGGCTGGGAAAGCGTTCAATTTCTCAAGAGTCTGCGTCTGCCGTCAACACCTTCTGCCTCTTTCCTGCGCTACTCTTGATCTTCCTTGTCTCTGTGCCCTCAACTCCTCTGCTGTCTGAGCTTCCCAGAGCCTGTGTTGGTATTGCTGGTGGCCCTGGTATGACTTCGGGATTCGGGAAGCCTTTGCCATGATTGCCTCTGCGTCCTCATCTTTGAACTTCAGCGTCACACGCTCCTGTCGGGTCTCACTCTTCCCCGCTACACCGGCCTTTGTTGCAATGACCCGGCCACCAAAGTTTGTCTGGTGTTCCCACGACAAGGCATTGAAGCTTTTGTAGATGGGGCAGGTACTTTGACTATACTCCATGATCCGTCCTCCTCATGCGCTCTCAGTGGGCGTCCTGGCTCCCAAGAAGATGTAAAGGGTGCCATCTATACGCCTTGTTTATGCTTTGGATGCACCAGCTCGCGTGGAGTTTGTTGTGACTGGCTGGAACATGTTCAACATCCGGCCTGCAGGTCTCCTGGCCAGGTCCACGGTCAAACCCAATGTTGATCCCCAGCTTTGTCTAAACCTCTCACTGCACCATCCCGCTAACTTCCTCACCCTGTCCATTGTGCTGAGTGGTCTCTCAATTGAGCCGTGTTGCAAGGCCAGGACTGTGCCGGGTATTCGCCCAGCTTCAGGATTTATTTGTCGTCGGCTCATTGTCACTCCTGTAGGTGATGGCTGGGTACCCCAAGGTCTGGCTGAAGCTTTCCTTTGCCGCCTTGCAGGCTTTGCTCTTATATAGCAAAAGTCAAAGCTCGCTTCTACCATTCACCTATTGAAATCCTCGCGCTTCCCCCGCTTCTCACGCGCATGTCCGTCTTGGCCTTTTTTTGAGCGCGCTCTGGACACCAGTTGGCGCAAGGAATACGGGCGAGTCTGTCTCGCGCCTGAATTGCTTCATCCAGGACTTCGGCCACAGGTTGGCCTGGAGCTTCTCTGGTATCTCTTGCTGTGGCTTCTGTCATCAAGCGCTTTAGAAGTCAGCACCCTCGTCAACGAAGCCAAGAGACCATACAGCTTGACAGTTTGATGGGTTTGCTTTTCGCTCCAGCATCAGCCGAACCCATGTCAAAGGAATCATTCGGCCCGGCTTCTCAAAGCTCCAAGCCCACTCTCTATAAGCCTTGATCTCCACATTTGGTTCTGCTAGCAGCTTTGACCAGTCTGGACAAGCTTCTTTCCTCTCTTGCAACGTCTTCTGAACTGCTGCTGCTGCATCTGCTGCTGCCTTGGCGCTTTGCATGTTGGCTAACACTTCCAGCAAATCAGTCTCCTCCATCTCGTCCTTGGTCAAGCCTTCCAAGGAAGTACGCCTGGGACCTTGAGGGTGCTCGGATTGAAGATGCCACCTTGCTACAACTCAAGGGCTTTCAGCGCCTGAAAGCGCTCAAGATCTGCAAGCTTTTCCGCCGGAGATCAAGAGGGGTTGCCTCTATCCTTGCTCCGGTACAGAGAACACCAGTCTGTTGTGACAGGGAATGATGGGCAGGGTGGTTTTCGTAGTCACATGTGTGCGGATCATGGCTGGGAGCATACGGCTTTCAACTTCTTTGAATGGTGTGTGTCGTTGCTCCTCCCTTTCAAATCCATTCTGTGGCAAACCACTTCGGCTTAGCCCTTTTCGGCCTGGTCTCAGCCCAGTCCGCATAGGACTTGTAGGGGAACCTGGCTGTTTCTTATTGCCGTGCACTTTCGGATCTTTCGGTTTCTTATTGCCGTGCACTTTCGGTTTCACCTTTCGAAAAAGCTACGCTAGCATGCTTTTTGCCAGTCTCGCCCTGCCCCTGCACCCTGCTTTTTCAGTTTCACAACGTGCTAGGCCATGGCCAACCAACCGTGCTTTACCACCTGGACAAACGCCATCCGGGGCTTGCAGATTCACCCGAAATAGCTTAGGATGGCTTAGGCATAGCCAGGTTTCGTGTTCCATAGACGAATCCCAGAGAACATGAAAGCTTCCTCCGCTTTTGGCATTTGCGTTGCCACTCGTGGAACGCATTCACCAAAGAGCCACCTGTGGCGGAGGAAACAGGGATGACAAGCACAAGCAAGCTGCACTCATTTGAAGCCTCAACGAAATGGATCGACAACATCGCCTGCAATCCATGTGGCAATAACTTTCTCCATGCCCTTGGGGGCACTTGGCGCAGCTGCTGGCGACGTGACCGCCACAAACCACCTGAAGAGGATCGCGAAAAAAACAACTGGAAAAAGCTGGCTCATGCTCGCTCCAAACCACCGCACCTGGTGATCGGGTTGTGCTTCAAAGTCATCTGGATGTGGGAAGCCGGGGGGTATCATGTTTGCAAGGTGCAATTTGGTTGCAGCCTCAGCTGAGATAGCGCAGCTGCGCCGAATGCTGAGCTACGTGCTGCATCTACAAGGCCTTGCAATCTGCCAAGTGCAAACCTCAGTGGTCTTGCTTTAGAAAAACAAAAAATCTACAGTATCATCACATCACCATAGTCACCATAGTCAGAATACGGGCCCCATTCACATATTTGCATATCACATTTTCTGAAACGAGGACATGTGGCTGACAGCGCGACAATGATGATGGAGATGTGAAATTGGACCCTGAGCCACCTTTTGGACAACTCTTTGTAGTTTTGCTATCTGATTCTGAGCTCATGACCACTTTGGAATGGGCTTCAAACATTCCAAACTCTACAATACTCTAGAAATTGGAACAATTGGAATTAAAAGGTAATCGTTTAAGGAAACGCAAAGCCTTAGAAAGAGCGTCAAAGCCATTGTGCGAAGGACATGAACCATTTTGTTGGACACTGAGAGGAAAGCAACAGGCGTTGCTAAAAAACACACGACAGGAACAATAAAATGCGTTTGAAGGAAAACTAACGGGTTGTGTGAGCCTGCGTGCCAGTATTTCAAGCAACACACACACACATAGGCACACTCGTATGTTTTGTGACGCTTCGTGCCTTCACCGTAAATAGATCGCACACTGCAAGCAAAGAAAGTTTGGAAGGATGATGATGATGATGATGATGATGATGATGATGACGACCACTTCCGGACACTACTGCGCTGGACTCTTGGCTTGGTGGATGCTTAAGGGTGATGCATGCCCCACTGTGGCCACACAGCTGAGACGCAAAACTTCCTCACATTCTTGGAAACTGCTGCCTCTTGAGTTTCAATGCGGCGTGAATGGAGCTGAGCAAACCACACGGCGATTTGCAATGGAGGCCAAGGATCTGCCTACTTTGATCTATATATATACTTTGTGTGCTGCATAATCCCTGCTCAGCCTTTGGTACAGTAGATGACTGGCCAAAAGCTCTTGATGGTTCTGGAAGTTCTTCGGAACTTCCCAGGGCCTTTTCGTGACTGGTGAAACCAGGACCTGGCCTTCCAACATGCTCTGCCTGGAACGTCATTGAGACTGGTAAGGGCCAAAGGGTCAGAGGTCAAACAGAAGAGTTCAATCTGATTTTTGCACTCAGATTCTGAGGCAACATATTTTTCTTAGACTTAGACCTTGAAGCTCTCCCTTCAAGCGGACGAGGATGACAATCATGAAGAAGGAGAAAAACAACACGAAGTGAGACAGTACTTAAATATATTTTGTATTTATTGGCAATTCGGTTCTGTACAAACACCATTCATTTACAGCAGCGACATAATCCACGCATAAATAAAACCTTCCCATCTCAAACTTATACCTTCTAATGTCTGCTACTCTACCATCTTCTATCATCTTCGTCTGCCAGTTTTGCGCCGCAGCAACCACCACCAGTCTTTGCGATGCACTTGTTCGAGCCCTTCAAGCGCAGGTTGAAGACGTTGTCTGGGAGCACACCTCCCCCACGATACAGCCTGCAGCATCATGGATTCCTGATTCGACAAAAAATCTTAGACACTCCAAGGCCGATGCTTGCGGAAGCGGTGGAGAAAATAGACAAACGGCTTGCACTGGAGCTCCTTCAACAAACACATCAAAATTCAAAGTGAAACATCGCATACAAACTACAAATCTATTCCCCAATAGCTCTGCCAAGCAGCTTTGATTCTCTGAGCTGCTTGGGACACGTTGATCGTTGGGTTTAGGCCACCCTCTCGAAACTTATCCTGGCAAGTTCACTTGATCACCCACATTGAAAGGACTGGTCATCATTAATGAACTGCTTCAAGAGATCCAAATAGAGGCTCAGTCTCAGTTTGACATGTTTTCGTTTCGGTCGGACTGTTGGCAACACTTTCAAGCGGATTGTTGCGCGTATATGCGTGTACTGTATGTATATCATAAAGTTATCAACATATGTACACAAAAGAACAACTACTAGCAGGTCAGGTCCCTATCTGAGACTTGTGGAACGGCCCTCCCAAGTTTCAATCCAAACAAACCCTTTGCAACGGTTGCAATTCGCGACGTTTGTTGACACTATACTGTATACTATATATTTACGAGGTAATCGAGTTGTTCAGACTCCTGGTGACAGTTCTGTGCATTGCTTTGTTGCTCTGATGCTCTGATCATCCTTCTGCAGTTGATGGAGCACGTCAAGGCGAACGGGACCTGGAAGAGAGCTGCCTCTAAACTACTGTCGGTGCTTTATATCTGCTTGATCTGATCCAACCTAATCGAACTACCCAGGCGCAATATCCAAGTATAACCGTGTGCCGTCAAATCTTGAGTATGTAGCCCTGCTCACGTGGATTATGAGCCCAGCCAGGCTGTAGGAAGTCCACCGCAGAGTAATCTCTTGTGTTGATGGTCCCCATGGAAGTCAAGTTCCAGTAAAGTAACTGCGCCTTCTGAAGAAGGCGAGGAGGAAAATAAAGCTTTTGTTTCACATCCAATTGATTTCCTTTTAACTTCCTTTTGATTCTTGTTGATTCCCTTTGAAATATCTTTTGATTTCCAATGACTCCCTTTCAAATTCCGTTTGGTTCTAACAGATTTCCTTTTTGAACCTTATTGACTTCCCTTGAACGTCTTGATTTAGTTTCATTTTAATCACTTAATTTGGTTTGCAGAAATTCTACTCCACACCGGGGGTAGCCCAGTACACTAGACATCTTGAATAGTATATTGGCCTACAAAAATTCAGCCGTTTTGATCCTTTTTGGCTTTAATGGTAGTCACAAAAAGCGGCTTCGCCCCTTTTTCCTTATCTCAAGCCACTGTATAGCGGGATGTCGTGAGGCTATGCTCAAACTTGACACCCTGCCTCAGAAACGACGTGCTTTCGTCTTTTCTGCTCAACTTCAAAAACATGCACATCTGTCAACCATCATTTCCTTCGTCGTTGTCAACTCGTGGTCTTCTTTTCGGCTCAACGACTCTGATGGCTGTGTTTCCAGGAGGTGGATCCCATGGACCATCGAACTCGCTGTCCTCCATCAGATTCTGCTGAATCCAAGCGTCCGGATCTTCACTCTCCTCAAGCCTTTCAGCAACCTCATCGGCTGCATTTTCTTCCTCTTCACCTTCATTCTCACATTCTGAATTCATGGCCAAATTGGCCTCTGTGCCAGCCTCTGTCGCGTTCTCTTCAAAGAACTCATGCGTTCTTCCAGCTTCACACCACTTGTGAAAAACAATGGAAGCTGCCATGTAGGATCTTGGGTCATCCTCTTGGAACATCTTCACTAGATGATACAGGTATGACCACGTTCTGCGACACTGGCTCAACTGAGGTATTGCTGGTGGAAATGTCTGCGACTCAATCTCCAGCAACCTCATATGTTCTCTCAAGGATCGGCTCACCTGAACATCTTCAGCTTCTGGTCCACCTGTTGTCATCCTGAGTTCTTCTCGCCATTGTTGGAAATCTTCATGAATTGCTGGTATGCCAGTACATCCGAAACTCAACATCAACTCTCTTGAACCTGGCGCACACCAGTAGTCAACATCCAACAAATCTCCTTGATCTTGCCGACTCACTGCTCGACCTTGCTGAATCAAATCATCTGCAACCATATCTGAAATGCTTTCGTGAGCCTCATCCTCATTGTTCAACCTTCTTCTTGCCACATGCTCATGTCCAGCTGATGAACTTGCCGGAATGATAATATTCTCACTTTCTCCTTCTTCTTCTGCTTCTTCTTCTTCTACATCTTCAATCTGTTCGTCTCCTTCTCCACGCTCCATCTGCGCTTGCCCATAGTACTGTAGGAGCGCTGCCCATGATCTTGGGCTACTGTCTTCATCGCCCAAATCACCTTCGGGCATGTCTGAACCTCTTTTGCCCCATAGTGCTGCCTCATCCATTGCACCTGAACTTCCAGCGCTATTTTGTTGTGGTTCGTGAACATTCTTGTAACCACTGTTCTCATCATCTGCATACCATTCATCTCCTTCATCTCCATGGTATGGATGGTTGGTTCTTGTGTGATCAACATATCCCGAAAATGGATCATCACCTCCGGGATCTTCGTCATCATCGTCATCTCCTCATTTGCTGTCTTGTCAACTCATTCTGCAAATCTTCTAAGGCGTCCTTGTACTTGAACAACTGAACTCTCATGTGGTTGATGTGGTAGATGAACACGCTCAACATCACAACCAACACCACAATCAAACCTGTGAGTATTGCCAAGCTGAAGGCTTGATGCCTCACTATCTCGTCGAATCCTCTCTCACTCATGCAACTGCCTGTATCTTCTCCACATCCTTTTAGGAAACCTGCAGCTGCCAACAAGTGAATGACTCTTCTGACACTTGGTATAGTTTGCTCTTTGAATGTGTTGCTGCGCAAACCAATGAGCTGTTCAAGAAACTCTCGACGTTCTCTGCTCAAGCTCTTGGTATTGAGATCTGCGGGATTGTTCTGAGTGCTAATCCGTGCAACTTTGAACCATTGCTTCCTCATAGCACTCTGGCCCCATAGGACCCTAGTGCTCAAATGCTTTGCTCTTCCTGGACCCAATCTCTGAAAGAATGCTTGAGCCGACGTGGAATCCATGTACAACTTCATTTCTACCTCTTCGTTGCATCCAAGGTCTTGTTTGCAGTTCAACAGGAATTGTAGTGCTTGCTTGATGCACACACCTTGCGCCAATAATCCCGTTGCTGCCAACACTTCTGCCTCCATTGATGACAATGCTATGGAAGCTTGTGCTCTTGAATGCGAGTGGATGCAATGCCCATTCAAGAAAATCAACCCAGCACTCGTGGACTTGCGACTCACCTTCGAAGTCGCCCAATCTGAGTCTGAGAACAACTCAATGTTGTAGGATCTCTTGAGGTGCTGACCTTCATTGGTCACATGATGCCATCGACCAAAGACATTGCTTCTCAAGGTTGCTCGTTCAAAACGCATGCGCATATCTCCAGTCCACTGGAGATAGGAAGCCAACTTCTTCAAGGCGTTCATGGCATTCTTTGTCGGGTTCGACATAAATGAAGCAAGCATTCGGACGGCAAATTGTACATCTGCTCTTTCTTGACTGATGTAGAGACAAATTCCTAATGCTGATCTGAAAGTCTTTGCCTCCTCTTTGGACAACATCTCTTCTTCCTTCACTGACTCTGGACTGTAGACATCCAACGTTGAATGAGTGGGAATTGTCCTTGCGCGTTTGTCTTGAAGCTTCAACATGCTTGTCAGCTTTGGAATGTATTTGGGATTCACACTGATCTCGATCCCTTCACTGTCAAAGCTAATCTGTCGCTTCAAGTAGTAAAGAACACCTGGTCTCTCCATACCATAGGGTCCTTCTGACTTCAATGTCAAAATCTTTTCAAAGTGCTCTTTGAATCGCCTGTGCTCGTCCTCTGTTCCAACCAACACGATGTCATCGATATGAACAGACAAGTACAAGTCACAGCCCTTGTGCCTGAACAATGTGCCTCCTTGGTAGGCCTCAAAACCATACTCTTCACACAGCTTTGCGAAATGCTTGTTCCACTCTAAAGCTGCTGCTCGTTGTCCTGGTAGGCACTTGCATAGCTTCCAGTACAGTAGTGTCAGGTCCTGTACTGCTTCTCTCACCCACTCTGGCACTTGCACAATGACAAACTCTTTCTGTGGCACCTGAAGAAAAGCATCACTCACATCATACACTGACACCATGAGGTTCTGCAAAATGGAAAGCGAAAACAACATCTTGATGTAGGCAAGAGGTGAGGTAGGAGCAAATGTATCGGCTGTGCTATTTGTTGTTCTGAACTCACGGGCCACTAATCTTGCTCTCCTTGTCCAACATTCGTTGCGAAACCTCCAATCAGACACAACACGGGTGTCCAATTCTGTTGCCTCTCCAATCTGCTGATTCTCCACGATGCTCTCCAATACTTGCAGTTTGCCTAGTCTGTCAAGCTCTGTAAACAATGCTTCTTTGTCCAACAATGCCAGCTCTTCTGATGTCACCGTTGGTGGTCCTTGACCTTCATTCAGGAATCCTCTTCTCTGTTTGTCTTCTGCAGAAATCACTGTTCCTGAACTGCTTAGATCTGTCCAACCTTCTTCATCTCCACCATACTCTGTCGCACCAATTTCTTCTTCATCTTCATCGTACAGCTCGATGTCCTCAATCACACGACGAACCTCGCCTTTTCTCTTCAGCTCATGTTCTGCTTCAATTGTCGTTGAGGCTGATGCTGTACTCTGTTCTGTCCTTTTGCTCGTCTTTGCACTTGGTTCAACGATTGGTGCATCTGGGCCAAATCTGACATGTTTATGTTCTTGCTCTGTAGGTTGTCCTTCTGGCCTCTTGACTCTTTGTGGTTCTGCTCTGGCCTTGGAAGCTCTGGGTCCACTGGATGTGGGATCTTCATGACGTCTTTTGGGACTAGACGTCACCACCTCTGCTTCATCTTTTTCCTGTTCAACTGCTGTTGCCTCTGCTGCTGCCGATGTTGTTGCTGCTGCTGTTATTGTAGTTGTATCCTTCTCTTCATGCCTTTCTTCTTCTGGCCTGGATGCCCTGCCTGTCTCAATATCCTTGTCACTCTCATCTGAGTCTGGATGATCTTTGGCATGTTTCATAACCACAGCGGCCTCCTCATCGACAACTTTCTTTTTCTTCTCTTTCAACGAATCTACTGGAACAGTAGGAATCGGCTGAGGTGTAGGTGGCTGCATTGGTCTCGAATCCACCTTTGTTCGAACTCCTCGCTTCAA